GGGAGCCTCCAGTGTTCCCAGGGGGAGCGGCTCAGCGCGAGCTCTTGGGAACATCTGGCCAGATGGTGGAGAAGGGGCAGCCTGTGGCCTGTGCTGGGTGCGTCGCCTCTTCTGGTCAGCACAGGCTAAGGTGTGTGTGTGTGTGTGTGCGCGCACCCACTAGCCATTTCAGGTGAGACACACACACACACCCTGTGCACTCTCTGCTGGGGCCCTTATGGGAAATTCTCATTCAGACGGAGCAGCCGGGATCCTGTTTGTGCGGCAGCTGCTCCTCGCTGAGTCCCTGGGGCTTCCCCCTTTACAGCGTTTGGTCTAGAAAGGCCCCTTTACCTTTAAAAGCGTCGCTATGTTGTCAGTGAGTCTCTTCACACTCTGACGCGCCGCTTCTCTTGCGTTCTGAGAAAGGTCCGTCTGGTCCGTGCTCACAAGCTGGTTCAGTTTCTTGCAGTCAGACTCAATTCCCTCCAGCTGCTGTCGTATTGATTCCTTCAGGCACAGAAGTTAAAATGAAAACTCCACCCAGCGATGGCAGGGGAGGGTCAGCGGCAGCCAGCCAGTGAGTGGGGGGTCGGTTGCCTTTCTCTGGCTGGGCAGAGCTGATTCCTGGGCTAAGCACCCTTCTTGCAGGAGACAATAAAGCCTCTTTCTGCAGTGAGACCTGGAAAACCAGAATCCCCCTCCCAGAGCCCTGGGCTGCACGACAGGCCTGATTCGAAGCGAGGTCACGTGCAGGGGACCATACGGCACAGTCTGGCCAGGACAGACCCATTTTCAAGCCCTGTCCCAACATCCTGACCTCCCCCCCTGCCCAAGAAAAATCAGCCAGCAAGTACAAATGGACAAATGCTCTGTTTTTCCAAAAAATTGGGGGTACACCTAGTGGGACATGGAAGGACATGTGGGGGTTGGAGGCGAGTGGCAATATCAGTCCCACCCTAGAGGGAGGGCTGAGGACAGTGGCTGAGGCTGGCTGGCCCCACAGCTGTCTCTCTCTGCAACGGGGCAGTACAATTAAGAAGGGCTAGAGAGCCTGCAGAACGGGAATTCATTTTTCAGATTTGGCACAGTCTCCCTGGGCTTGCACAAAGACATTCACTGGTTGGCGCATTACAAAGCCAATTTCCCCTGCCTTTAACATCTGCATTTTCACATCCAAAGCTATGCACAGGACACAGCCAGCCCAGCCCACTTAATTAGCCTCATTAATACGGGTCCTAGCATTGACAGGTAACTGCTTTCACTGTTCTATATACTTTGGATTTGGTCATTTCCTCTCCAACCCTTCTGATGAAGTGGGCAGAGCTTGTACAGAATAACAATCACCCGTCGGCTTCTTTCTGCCCCCTCTGGGCCCAGCGGCTGGGCAGGAGCAGTCGGTGCCTTTCCCATGTTTTACAAGGTGGTTTGGCAGGGAAAGGAGTGTACGAACACCTGGAAGGGTTCATGGCCTGTCCAGCAGCACAGCGTGTCTGTGCTTTCCAGCAGTGAGTGGCAGGGGGGGCTGGGCACACCCATGTGGGTCTCTCACTGCACAGTGAAACGCGGCACCAGCTGAGTGGCTCTAACCATGCCGGGGCTTGGAGAGTTAATCCCTTCTCCAGAGCAAGTGGCCAAGGGAAGCATCACCCGACTGGAAGTCAAAAGAGTCTCAGACCAGAGCCCTGCCAGAGTGTCCTACCCACAGCGCAGACCTGCAGTGATCTCACAGGCATTACTGGTGCAGCCTCACCGCACAGGTGTGACAGAGGGAAATCTCACGGCCCCCCGGCCATCGCCAGGGAACACAAGGCCAGTGCGACAGAGGGAAATCTCACGGCCCCCCGGCCATCGCCAGGGAACACAAGGCCAGTGCGACAGAGGGAAATCTCACGGCCCCCCGGCCATCGCCAGGGAACACAAGGCCAGTGCGACAGAGGGAAATCTCACGGCCCCCCGGCCATCGCCAGGGAACACAAGGCCAGTGCGACAGAGGGAAATCTCACGGCCCCCCGGCCATCGCCAGGGAACACAAGGCCAGTGCGACAGAGGGAAATCTCACGGCCCCCCGGCCATCGCCAGGGAACACAAGGCCAGTGCGACAGAGGGAAATCTCACGGCCCCCCGGCCATCGCCAGGGAACACAAGGCCAGTGCGACAGAGGGAAATCTCACGGCCCCCCGGCCATCGCCAGGGAACACAAGGCCAGTGCGACAGAGGGAAATCTCACGGCCCCCCGGCCATCGCCAGGGAATACAAGGCCAGTGCGACTCCCCATGGTCAAACTGCAAGTTGGTAGAAGAGCCGGGACAGACCCCAGGAACAGGGTTGCCCGGTGTCCAGTATTTAACCGAACAGTGTAGTATTTGAGCTTTCTGTTCGGGAAAAAAATTGAGAAACTATAATTGAGGAAATAGAACTGTCCAGTATTTTCTCAATCAGAAGTGATGTAGATTGTGATGTAATGTCAAGTGTGTCCAGTATTTTTGTTGAAACCATTTGGCAACCCTTCCTGGGAATCCTCAGTCGGTCGCACACACTGAACCCCCAGGACCCGCTGCCTCCCTTGTAGCCCACCCACCCCCCGACACACACACACACCTTTCTGTGCATGACGGGAATCACCGGTTGGATAAAGGAACCGGCCGCAAATGCGTTTGAAACGAGGGTCTGTGCTAGTCCGGGCGTTCGAGCAGAGGGTGCTCACGTCCCTTCCCCACCTCCCTCGGGACACACACCCCTCGTACGACACCAGGCAGTCTGCAGGGACTTGAATGAACAAAGAGAAATAACGGTGCCTACCCTGTGCTCCTGGACAGCCTCCTCCACGGGAACCACCGTGTGACCGCGGTGAGCCTGGGATCTCTCACACGCCAGGCACACGGGGGTCTGATCCTCTTTGCAGTAGAATCTCAAAGGCTCTCGGTGTGTCTTGCACATGTTCCCTCCTCTCGGATCCTCCACTGCTTGAGACTTTAATAACTCCACAATGTTCTTCAGCTCCCGGTTGGGCCGTAAGTTTCCCTTTCGAAGTTTCTCGTTGCACAGAGGGCAGGCGACGTCTCCGTCTCCCTGGCAGTGCCAGGTGATACATTCCTGGCAGAAGCTGTGTCCACACTCACTTGTCACAGGGTCCCGGAATAACTCCAGACAGATGGGACAGGTGACTTCTTCTTTAATGCTCTGCAAAGGCTCTGCAGCCGCCATGGTGCTTTCTAGGAGGGGACGAACAAGTTCCCTGCCTCCATCACATCCCTCCTAACGTGTCCGTCTGGCGGCAGGAAGGTGCCTTGCCCCACAGGTATCATGTCAGGCCAAAGGGCCCTGCTGCATTTTATTGCTCCAGGAAGCCAGAGATGGAACAGATAACTTTGGCCTCTCAGGAACATAGAAAAGCTTCTCTCTGCACTACTGAGCCCACCTTCCTGCAAGCAATAAGGGAGCCGCTCCGCTGTCCCTTTGGTAAAAGACCCATCTCACCCCCAGTGGCGCTGACAGGGCCCTGGCTGCCCGCCTACGGGAGGTAAAAGCCATTTGGAGCCGCGCCCCAGAGAGCCTGCGAGGGCCCCTCCCGACCAGCCCCTCTCCTGGGCTTCTCTCCTGTCTGGAATCTCCCAAGGCCCCCTTGGTCTCCTGCCCCACACGGACCTTTTCTCTCTGCCGGGGGGCCTGGGGAGACGAGGGTTTTGTTGCAGAAGGGGGAGGGAGCAGCGAGGGGCGAGGACGGTCTGGGAGGGATTTGACCAGGTGAAAGTGATCTCGAAATGGCAGCGTTTGTGATTCTAAGGAAGGGGCGGAGGGAAAACTACAGATCCGAGGTCCTGGCCCCCCCCAGCCCTGCTGCGGCTGCTGCCCTGGCTCCCTCCAGGTAACCTGGGCCTGCCCTGGGCTCTCGTTGCTGCCCCGACTCCAGCCCTGACCGTGGGCTGATTCCTGGCTGCTGACTCTTGCTCTCACCACTAGGCCAGACCACCCCCATC